TCATAGTTTGCCTCCGTTTTGGAAAAAAACCAGGTCAAGGTCACTAAATTGAATTAAACTGATATTCTTTAAACTTTACTGCATGCAATAAGTCTGTTTCATTGGAAGTTGAAAGAGTTTGAGCAATTCCTGTACGCTAGAAAGTCTGGGTCAAGATCATCCATTTGGTTCAAATTGACATCAATTCTTGCCAGCTTTTTCAATTATTAAGCAGAGTATTTTTTTTTCAAGATTTTACATATCTGACCCTTAGCTGTGACCTTGATAACATGTCAAGGTCATTCATTTATGCCAACTTGATTACAAACCTTTATCTCCATATCAAATCATGCAAAATCTACTGCCTGCCAGAGGACTTTAAGTCTCCGAGATTTGCTTAAACCTGCATGCCACATTACAATTTATCAAAGTAGTGGCATGGTTCAAAATATACACAAGTAATTGACATTCTTCTAAAATTATCTGATACGAAAATTACGAAATGTATCTTAATTACGGGGTTACTGCATCTGCCTGTCTAGATTCTGACTTTTGTTTTAATCACTTTGGATTTTCCTTAATCACATCCTAGACTTCAAAATTCAGGCCTTTAGTACCACTGACAAGACTTAGAATGACAAAAACAGCTGTATGATGCAGTTTAATTCATGGTTCGGCTCTACTGCATCTAACTCTAAATTTGTAATAAAAGGTGCTACCTGGTATTCGCTTGTTCTTCTGTAGTGCAATATTATTAATGATTAACAGTAAATCTGCACTTTTAAAGAACAAAACAAGAAAATTTGTTTATGAAATTCTTTAAAATTGATTTTAAAATGCTCTTTACTTAAAAGGAGTATCATTTAAAAAAAAACAAAAACAATAAACAAAGAAAATAATCACAAATTTGAAACAGATATAATGTGAATTTTAAATTTGAATTTAAAGTGTTGCTCACACGAAAGGATTTCAGCAAAACAATAAACCGATCACAAATTGAAAAAGATAAAAGGTAATTACAACAAGCAATGTGACAACGATGATTCCTGCCAACGTGCACATTTTGACAGTAACCTGCTGAATACTTTGATGAAGGACCAGATGTCTGTTATAGCTGTGAGATTACATACAACAACAGTTTACATCTTATTGATTATACAGATAATGGTCATCACTAAACACACAATAGTTATTCCTAAATAATTGTTTCTAAATTTAGGATAGCCAGTATTTTACTGTTAATAAAAGTACAAGCACAGCTTCAAAGGTGCTATGTTCTTTAAATAGCAACACAAGATTAAACGTGAAAGATGTGTTAAATCATTTGTTTCAGACTGATTGCATGAGTTCATCCCAAACATATAAATAGATTGACAAGCAGGAACTGAAAAAACAGAGTAATACCAAATATGGAGTAAAGAAATTTACCATATATGGTATAAAAACACAAAGAAATTACACTTAAGATTACATTGATACCAAATTTGTTGGTATTATGTAATAGAATGAACAACAACAATATTAACAGAGGTCTTTATCTGTTTCAGTGTCTTTGCTAGAATTCAAATCCAGGACCTCTGGTTTACCAGTCTGATGCGCAACTGATCAAGCTAGAGAGAAATTCTCTCAAGCTGACTATATTGTGGATATTGTGTATGTAACTGAGGGGTCAAACTCAGGACCTGTTGCTAACTAATTTGATGCTCAACCGATCAAACAGTATATACAAACACATCTTGTCACTAGGAGGGAAGTACAGACAGACCTTGTCTCTAGGAGGACAGTAAAGACAGACCTTGACTCCAGGAGGACAGTACAGACACACCTGGTCTCTAGGAGGACAGTACAGACAGACCTTGTCTCTAGGAGAACAGTACAGATAGACCTTGTCTCTAGGAGGACAGTAAAGACAGACCTTGACTCCAGGAGGACAGTACAGACACACCTGGTCTCTAGGAGGACAGTACAGACAGACCTTGTCTCTAGGAGAACAGTACAGATAGACCTTGTCTCTAGGAGGACAGTACAGACATTGTCTCCAGGAGGACAGTACAGACAGACCTTGTCTATAGGAGGACAGTACAAACAGACCTTGTCTCTAGGAGGACAGTGCATACACACTTTGTCTATAGGAGAAAAGTTCAGACAGACCTTGTCTATAGGAGGACCAAACAGATAGACCTTGTCTCTAGGAGGACAGTACAGACAGACCTTGTCTCTAGGAAGACAGTACAGACAGGCCTTGTCTCTAGAAAGACAATACAAACAGGCCTTGTCTCTAGGAAGACAGTACATACATACTTTGTTTATGGAGAAAAGTACAGACAGACCTTGTCTCTAGGAAGACAGTGCATACAGACCTTGTCTCTAGGAAGACAGTACAGACAGACTTTGTCTCTAGAACAATATAGACAGACCTTGTCTCTAGGAGAACAATATAGACAGACCTTGTCTCTAGGAGGACAGTACAGACAGACCTTGTCTCTAGGAGGACAGTACATACACACTTTGTCTATAGGAGAAAAGTTCAGACAGACCTTGTCTATAGGAGGACCGTACAGATAGACCTTGTCTCTAGAAGGACAGTACAGACATTTTCACTAGGAGAACAGTACAGACATTGTCACTAGGAGGACAGTACAGATATTGTCACTAGGAGAACAGTACAGACATTGTCACAAGGAGGACAGTACAGACATTGTCACTAGGAGGACAGTACATACAGACCTTGTCTCTGGGAGGACAGTACAGACATTGTCATTAGGAGGACAGTACATACAGACCTTGTCTCTGGGAGGACAGTACAGACATTGTCACTAGGAGGACAGTACAGACCTTGTCACTAGGAGAACAGTACAGACCTTGTCACTAGCAGAACAGTACATACCTTGTCACTAGGAGGACAGTACAGACCTTGTCACTAGGAGGACAGTACAGACATTGTCACTAGGAGGACAGTACAGACCTTGTCACTAGGAGGACAGTACAGATAGACCTTGTCTCTAGGAGGACAGTACAGACATTGTCACTCGGAGAACAGTACAGACCTTGTCACTAGGAGGACAGTACATACAGACCTTGTCTCTAGGAGGACAGTACAGACATTGTCACTAGGAGAACAGTACAGACCTTGTCACTAGGAGGACAGTACATACAGACCTTGTCTCTAGGAGGACAGTACAGACAGACCTTGTCATTAGGAGGACAGTACATACAGACCTTGTCTCTGGGAGGACAGTACAGACATTGTCACTAGGAGGACAGTACAGACCTTGTCACTAGAAGAACAGTACAGACCTTGTCACTAGCAGAACAGTACATACCTTGTCACTAGGAGGACAGTACAGACCTTGTCACTAGGAGGACAGTACAGACCTTGTCACTAGGAGGACAGTACAGATAGACCTTGTCTCTAGGAGGACAGTACAGACATTGTCACTAGGAGAACAGTACAGACCTTGTCACTAGGAGGACAGTACATACAGACCTTGTCTCTAGGAGGACAGTACAGACATTGTCACTAGGAGAACAGTACAGACCTTGTCACTAGGAGGACAGTACATACAGACCTTGTCTCTAGGAGGACAGTACAGACAGACCTTGTCACTAGGAGGACAGTACAGACATTTTCACTAGGAGAACAGTACAGACATTGTCACTAGGAGGACAGTACAGACAGACCTTGTCATTAGGAGAACAGTACAGACATTTTCACTAGGAGGACAGTACATACAGACCTTGTCTCTAGGAGGACAGTACAGACATTTTCACTAGGAGGACAGTACATACAGACCTTGTCTCTAGGAGGACAGTACAGACATTTTCACTAGGAGAACAGTACAGACATTGTCACTAGGAAAACAGTACAGACATTTTCACTAGGAGGACAGTACAGACAGACCTTGTCATTAGGAGAACAGTACAGACATTTTCACTAGGAGGACAGTACATACAGACCTTGTCTCTAGGAGGACAGTACAGACATTTTCACTAGGAGGACAGTACAGACAGACCTTGTCTCTAGGAGGACAGTACAGACATTTTCACTAGGAGGACAGTACAGACAGACCTTGTCTCTAGGAGGACAGTACAGACATTTTCACTAGGAGAACAGTACAGACATTGTCACTAGGAAAACAGTACAGACATTTTCACTAGGAGGACAGTACAGACAGACCTTGTCATTAGGAGAACAGTACACACATTTTCACTAGGAGGACAGGACATACAGACCTTGTCTCTAGGAGGACAGTACAGACATTTTCACTAGGAGGACAGTACAGGCAGACCTTGTCATTAGGAGAACAGTACAGACATTTTCACTAGGAGGACAGTACAGACAGACCTTGTCACTAGGAGAACAGTACAGACCTTGTCACTAGGAGAACAGTACAGACATTGTCACTAGCAGGAAAGTATAGACAAACATTGTCATATGTTATTTATCATAGGTAGACAAAATTTCATTTTCCGTAAAAGGTCAGACTGATCTGGATTCCTTAAGTGGACAGACATATTGAACAAGTATCTAATTACATTAACGACAAGTGCCCCTAGCAGTAGACGCAGTCTTCACTGATCTTTTTTAAGTCCAGGCTCCGCCAAGTCTGATTACATTCTCAAAGGAGCCAAATGGTTCCTAACATTTCTCTAGCGGGATGCATTTAAATGATCTGGTCTTGGTTGGAATAAGTTTTATTCTGATCAGCCTACCACTGACCTTGGTTCTAGAATTTAGACATCCATATCTTTTTTGACTCGGTCCCATGAATGGGTCTTCACTCAATACTGTCTAACTTACTGGTCATTGGGGAGAATACACAAATGACAGAGACATGGTATATATACATTTACAGAAAACTTTAAAATATTTTCATAGTTAGCCTTTATACAAAAATATTACTTTTCCTCGAGACATGTAAAGCCACTAATCACATACAGTTTGATTATGCCAGAAAGTGTACAGATAATGTAATAATGTGTTAGACCCATTCCAGCAGAATACTAAAAATATCATTCCAATGGGTGGCCTTGACACTGACACCAGGGAGAGGAACTTACCACCAAATGGGAGAGGAACTTTAACTCAGGGACACATTAGGGAGAGGAACTTACTCAGAGCCACAAGGGAGGGGAACTTAGTCAGGGCCACAAGGGAGAGGAACTTACTCAGGGCCACAAGGGAGAGGAACTTACTCAGGGCCACAAGGGAGAGGAACTTACTCAGGGCCACAATGGAGAGGAACTTACTTACTCAGGGCCACAAGGGAGAGGAACTTACTCAGGGCCACAAGGGAGAGGAACTTACTCAGGGCCACAATGGAGAGGAACTTAGTCAGGGCCACAATGGAGAGGAACTTAGTCAGGGCCACAAGGGAGAGGAACTTAGTCAGGGCCACAAGGGAGAGGAACTTACTCAGGGCCACAATGGAGAGGAACTTAGTCAGGGCCACAAGGGAGGGGAACTTAGTCAGGGCCACAAGGGAGAGGAACTTACTCAGGGCCACAAGGGAGAGGAACTTACTCAGGGCCACAAGGGAGAGGAACTTAGTCAGGGCCACAAGGGAGGGGAACTTAGTCAGGTCCACAAGGGAGAGGAACTTACTCAGGGCCACAAAATGTCAAAATCAAAGATGGCTACTGTTGTGTAAATTTTCCAATCAGTCCCAAATTAAAATAGGGACCATGAGGAACCTACAAATGAAATTTGAAAATGGTCCATTTCATGTCTCTCCATAAATAATAATAACCAGAATTGTTTAAGAATGGACAGATGAAAGACATTGTATGCAAGGCAATTCCAATAGGGCTAGGGGCATCATTTCTGTATTGTGTTACATGAAGACATCATTTCTGGAAGGCAAAGCACTCTAACTGTAAGAAATAGTTTTGGAGATCAGAGCCCTTATGCAGTAACTGACCACCTAAGTCACTACTAGAGACAAGCACTTTAAGTTTATACTTGTCTGACATTGGAGCACTCTTTGCTATCAAATATGTATCAAAATTGTTTCTATACAGACACTAGTACTTATGTATATTAAGAGTGTCATTTCCAGATATTGGAGGGCTCTGCTTACGCTTGCCATCCAAGATGTTTCTTTGGACAGGAGTACTTGTATACTCTAAGTGTCATTTACAGCTATTGGAGAGCTCTGCTTATCTTGGCATCCAAGATGTTTCTTAGGACTAGAGTACTCATGTAAGTGTCATTTCCAGATATTGGAGGAATCAGCTTACAGTTGTCATCCAACATGTTTCTTGGGACTGGAGTACCTAAGTACACAACTGAGTGTTATTTTTGGAGATCAAAACTCTACAGCCTTGTTGGAAGGATTCGAAGTTCTACATGATGATATCATTAATGTTCAAAACACAGCACAAAGAAATGTATCAGTGATAGAAATCAACATTGTTCTCACCAACCCAGGGTTAATCTGGGTCAACCACCCACAAAAGTCAAGGTCACAAGAAGGGAGCTGTTATCCCCAACAGATGCTACGTAGAGAAGAGTTCAACAGACTTAGACTGTCTGTGTTTTATCTTATTTTTTATTCACTGTAATTTAATCCCTTGTTCCCCTGACAATTAAACCTTCCTTTTTTTGAAGACAAATCTTTCAATAAGCTCCCTCCAATAAAAACCAGGTCAGTGTAACCTAGAATTGATTTCTTATTATTAATTCATACATTTAAATTTATACCATCAAGCAACTGAAGTGCATTGCTCAACGTCATAATGATAAGTTATGTAAGTTTTTCTTCTGAGATCAAGATGGGCTTTCTAGCGGTCAATATTACAGCCACTGAATCTTCTTACATCTCACAAGAAAATATTCACATCATTTTCTTGCGTCTTAGAAAAGGTTTCTTTTCCCTAATGATAAAGCCAAACATACATATCTGTTATCCCTTCTGTGACACACATGAGTGGAAATAGATTTTGGTCATGAAGGTCATAAATCAAAAATAGGTCACAGTGACCTACTTCTGCTACTCAGTTTACTTTGTTCAAAAAACATCACAAAGAAATCCTGAAGATCTTATTTGAAATATTACAGGAATGTAAACAATTGAAATGAGTATAAAGGAGAGGCTGTGGAACAAAAGATCATGTGCCCCAAGCACTGCAATACATGTACAAAAAGATCTATTTCTTTTTTTCTTACAATACATATGTAACATCGCTTTATAGCTGAAAGAATTCAAGAAAAGTAGGGGCCTATATAGTTTTCAGACAGTGTTTTTGTTTTTTACATCATACATTGTGATGCTATAGGGCCAATTGTCAACAGTTTTTATGAGACATTTTACACCGTAACTCACCACCACCACCATAATTTTCCCCGATATCAGCAATCTGATATTGTTTTTTTTTTTTCGTAAGTGAATTTAATCTTACCAATCGTGGCTTCAATTACTTGGATAAAACTGCAGAAAATTACTTTGGATAAAGAGAGGGGTGTAAATATTGACTAGATACAGTGTTGGCATGATCTGGAAATTTGCCCGATTCAATGGCAGTTTGGATGGTGAAAGAACAACATGTTTTCATGTCTCAAACAAAGCAACAGTAACACATTATATGGGACATATCGGGATAAGTCGAATGGTGAGTAATCACAGGATTCAATTCTGCGCCTGCCTTAGGGTGTTCATCATATGCTAGCTGCCACACAAATTTTGGAAGTAAAAAAAAATTAAAAAATAAAACATGTCTTAAACAGTATTGAATTGCTCTAATCTATTTTTCATGTGCATTTCAAGGCAAATTCATATTTTAGGTATAAAAGGACACTTTTGAAGAGAAATTCTTGTGAGGATAATTATGGTCTTTCTATTATGCAATTTGTCTTCATTAGAACACTGCTGTAATCATGCCATACTATAATGAACTTTAACAGGATTAAAGCTGCACATCGATCTTCTCATCGTGACTGCCCAAAGGATAGAATAGCATTAAAGGTGTACTTTTGGGGGTTGTACTCATCAACACACTCTCCCGGCAGAGGAGATGATTGTGGTGTCTCAAATAATTAAGGAATGAAAAACAATATTGAAGGTCTTAAATAATTAAAATAAACTTCATCTATTTCATTAATTCGTCAAAAAAACTTAATCTTAACCGGCCGAGATAAGATCACATCTTATATCTTGAATACCGGATTTCCAGTTTGAGGCTCAAGAGCCTTCATAACTTTTCGTAAATGAAAACATATTATCTCTTAAAAGATCCAGATTTTCCATGAAACTTGTGATATCTGTATTGCCCTGTCTCCTTTCTACATAATTTGGCTGTAAGCTTGTAATATCTGCATTGCCCTGTATCCTTTCTACATAATTTGGATGCAAGCTTGTGATATCTGTATTGCCCTGTCTCCTTTCTACATAATTTGGATGTAAGCTTGTGATATCTGTATTGCCCTGTCTCCTTTCTACATAATTTGGATGTAAGCTTGCGATATCTGTATTGCCCTGTCTCCTTTCTACATAATTTGGATGTAAGCTTGTGATATCTGTATTGCCCTGTCTCCTTTCTACATAATTTGGATGTAAGCTTGTGATATCTGTATTGCCCTGTCTCCTTTCTACATAATTTGGACTTAAGCTTGTGATATCTGTATTGCCCTGTCTCCTTTCTACATAATTTGGACTTAAGCTTGTGATATCTGTATTGCCCTGTCTCCTTTCTACATAATTTGGATGTAAGCTTGTGAAATCTGTATTGCCCTATCTCCTTTCTACATAATTTGGATGTAAGCTTGTGATATCTGTATTGCCCTGTCTCCTTTCTACATAATTTGGATGTAAGCTTGTGATATCTGTATTGCCCTGTCTCCTTTCTACATAATTTGGATGTACGCTTGTGATATCTGTATTGCCCTGTCTCCTTTCTATATCATTTGGATGTAAGCTTGTGATATCTGCATTGCCCTGTATCCTTTCTACATAATTTGGACTTAAGCTTGTGATATCTGTATTGCCCTGTCTCCTTTCTACATAATTTAGATGTAAGCTTGTGATATCTGTATTGCCCTGTCTCCTTTCTACATAATTTGGACTTAAGCTTGTGATATCTGTATTGCCCTGTCTCCTTTCTACATAATTTGGACTTAAGCTTGTGATATCTGTATTGCCCTGTCTCCTTTCTACATAATTTAGCTGTAATCTTGTGATATCTGTATTTCCCTGTCTCCTTTCTACATAATTTGGATGTAAGCTTGTGAAATCTGTATTGCCCTATCTCCTTTCTACATAATTTGGATGTAAGCTTGCAATATCTGTATTGCCCTGTCTCCTTCCTATATCCTTTGGATGTAAGCTTGTGAAAACTGTATTGCCCTGTTTACTTCCCAAAATGGTGGTGTCCATTTGTACAGCTAGGTTATCATGGCTACTAAGGATATAAATACCTGGTATACCTTTTCATTGTGAAGGCATCTAATTTAGGCCAATCCTTCCTTCCCAAAATGTTGGTGTCTATTTGTGCAGCAGAAATGAGTATGATTATAATGTGAGTTTTTTTTTACATTTCCAATATATATACATCACTTTGATACAAATGATAAGTTCTCTTTGCATGCTCTATTCAGTAGTTATATAAAACTGCTTATCAATAGATGGGTAGAATGTTGTTAGCTATTATTTAGTTTAAATGTTTCTTGCGGAAAATCAATATGAATATCAGTAAACATGTAGAAAGTGTGACACAATTGTCGGCCAGACTTAAGACAGGTCCTGTTACATCGGCCATTACCTAAATGTAACACTTCCTTACGAGGGCACATTATAGCAGCGGGGGATAGAATTACAGGTGATCGGCAGTACCCTGCTTGTTCGATAAGATCAACTTCATCTTGCAGAACACTCCAATAGGACATCTTCACGATATTACAACCATTTTATAGTGTAATTAAAGTAAACATGGGCTGTTTTCATCTATAAAATACTCAAGACGCATATGTAGGATACTTTTTACGGTATTTCACTTATAGGCTGTGAGCAATTTGAATATACTGGGTTCTTCCGTGCCAAGAAATTGTAGTCAGTACATGATCTGTTAATGTACTATCCTTACGGTATCAAGTAGCATTTCATTCTATCAGTAACAGTAATCCAAGGATGTTTAAACATCAAGGCACAATGCATGACATAAAGAAATCATCAGAGCAGTTTTCTCACACAGTTATACACGAAGAAATCTCAGGATCCTATACTAGCTGGCCAATATTTAATTTGGTTTCGTAAAAAAAGAAAAAGAAAGACGACCACAGGCCTTAACAGACATCTGACTAATTACAAGGAAACAATAGGCATAACTGCAATATTCAGATTTAATGACCAATTATGAACCAGTAGCCAAAACATTTTACAATGTCCACAAAGGCCACTTGTCATCCTGACCCTTTGGGTCAGATGACCTATAAAACTGAAGTTCAGGTTTAATTTAAAAGCACTCCAATGAAAACATTGGGTTTTTTTTAATTAGCAAAAAATGTTAATATCAGTCAGAAAACTTTGATATCCTAGTAAATGTTCATTATTTTCATTCAATATTCAGTAATAGATAAAAAAAACATAGGTGCCTCTCATTGGGCTAAAATATCTAAACCAGGATTTTTGTTATCCAGGAACAGAAATAATGAATCACA